TTTGGTGATAACAGCAGTTTTAGAATTCTCTAAGGGGTGACTTTTTATGCATATACCACTGCTTGATCACACTGCATTGTTCTCCAGAAGGCAACTATGAAAAGCCATACTACAATGAGTACTTTTTATCTATTCTTGTATCTTATTTATGCCATCTCCAGCTTCCAAAACCACTAGTATATCACTTGGTATGGATACCAAGTAAAATTGAATCTCTGGGTACTTTGAGTGTCAAGATTCTTCCATGACAAAGTCATTCTCCTGATGGTCAAGTTGAAACAGTCTACAGCCTTATCACTTATTGCCCAAACATCGATAGAAATTTTGTGCTTTAGCTGGTTAATTATTGACTCTGAGGTGTCTCATTGACACAGCAAGTTCTGCAGACCTCCAGAAAACACCTTACAGAAGACTGCTAAACACTATGCCTTCTCTAATCAGAGGTGATTGCACACAAGGAAGATAAACAGATTTTACAGGAAAAATAAACATTAATTTATTCTCTGTGATTATAGTACTTAACAGAAAAAATCTTATTCCTATTCTTCCTTGGATTTATAGAGAAGGAAGGAATGTGCACATACATCTCGAAGGCAAAGTGAGATAAACCAAAGAAGCTGGAAAAAAATATACTTGGAGCATAACTATGTGTTAAAAACTAGAAAGCTTTGAAAAGACAAATCAGGAATGAAATCTCCTGGTGCAGAGGCTGAAGAAAGTGAACAAAACAGTTGCAAGCTCCAGTAACCCCTATATACACTCCTGAATTACAGCTACAAAGAATGAGTGCAAAATGGAAACATTGCTCAAGCTGCTGTACAAACTTTAGACAATAATTAGGCTAAGTCGGGCTGGCTTAACTCAGCCATGCTCCAAAGCTTGAGATCTCATCCTTATTCTGCAACTGTTTAGCTGTAAAACCGGTGCTCCCAACCTATGCAATCAAGCCTTGAGAAAAATTACTTCTCTTTATTCAGGTACTACGCTCCTAAGTATATTTACACTTCATGCACTTCACACACTGCTGAAAACTGTATTCTAGAAGATGTGTATCACATCTCTATCTCATGTCAGAGAATGGCTTTACATATTTAAGCAGGATGCACATTTCTGAGCTATGTGTAGGACCTTAGAAGATGAAACATTTGACTGTAAATCCACCTCGATAGACAACTAAAGGAAAACAAAAACACACTCTGTACTGGCATTTACTTAGAGGTCAGTGAATCAGTGAACCTCAAATCAATTAAAAACTGGTGTGTTGTAATGTTTAAACCATCAGCACTTAAACATTCAGGAATGCGTCTGCATTACAGGAAAGTTATTATTCAGCCACCACTTGTCAAGTCTGATAAATGACCATTCTTTTTGACTTACTAAAATGTGCTACCGCAGACTACAGCTAATATTATCAGAGTAAAACTGGTAAGGGCCATGACCTACATGGAGGGGAGAAGCAACGTGAATTCCTTTTGTATAGAGCAACAATATAAGCAGCAGCATCCTCTCACATGCTTTGCACACTAAGTACAAACATACCTGTGTTTCTTAGCTATAGAAGTACTTATCATTAAGTCAATGAACAACATTTTTAGAACTCTATGTATACTGTTATAACAGTTTGTTATGACTTCACTGTCTCACATGTCTAGTTTTACGATACGTGAAAAATGATGTAGCTGCATCTTATTAAATTAAATTAGACACCACATGCAGCTTAAGCAATTGCTCTAATTACTCTGTAATTTCTAAAATATGTATAATAGGAATGCACAAATGATATAAAGCTCATTTTTATGTAAACAGAGTAATTAATAAAGAAATCTCAAACTCTCCTGACTGTCAAAAAGGATATGCTTGTAAACTTTAGGAATGACTGGCACAGTGTCTTTAAAGACTTTAAAAGGAATTGAGTAATCAGCTTTTAGCAAAATAAATATACTCACAAAATGTGCAAATGAAATTCAATATGTCTTATATAACAAGAAGTCTTGTATATGAAACTATGATTCACTATTTCTTTCTTTCTTTGGATAATAAAGACTATTTGTGACTGTGCTCTTTTACATCGGAAGGGCACCATCAGTTCTCCTGAGACTGCAAAATGCAGGAAGTGGCTCCTACCACATCTATCCGCGTCACATCTCTGTGGCCTTCTGTCACATCTATCCGTGTCACATCTCTGTGGCCTCCTATCACACACAGCTTGAGCTGGTAAAAGTTTGAACGAAAAATTGTTACAGCTCAACACAATTCACTACTGAGCTGCTTTATTTTTACAGAGACAGCAACACTGTTGGCTTCAATACAGTTACACCAACCTAAAACCAGCAGAGAGAAGCTAGACCCTAAGTGTGCATCAGCAGACACATGACAGTCTTTGAAAGGGAAATCTGCAGAGTAAGGCCAAAGAAACTATGAAGGGCATGAAGGACACCAAAAGGGGCAATATTCAAATACCTTCTCTATTTTGATATATTATGTGTGAGGTGCATACCAGATATCAGATATTTTCAATTGAATAAATAATTCCAGGCTATTGGAAAGGAAATCCTACTCATCATTACTGAAAAATAGTACTGAAAGTTAATGGAGGATATAGAGAAGGAGGAATATCCTGAAACTGCATTTTTTCCAATTGTTGTTAGATTTCATTATTTCTTTTCCAGAACCTTAGTTTGGAGCAGTGAACAGCCTTCTATCTTCTTTTTTCCTTCCTTCCCCTTGAGGCATTTTGAGAGAAGGGACAACATACTTGATGAATTTCATATTTATTTTCTTTATCGTGGCCTAGAAAATATTCAAAGTGCTCATCCATATTGATCTTCTAAGACTGCATTAGGGCTAGCAGTAAAGACCCAGGGACAAGTATTTTTGAAGCTTCTGGAGAAATAGCCTCAGGGACATTCACAGCAGGAATTGTTTGTGCTTCTTCTACAAACAGTTCTTGTCCTACCAAGTAATTTGTGCAGGTACTTATGCTTATGAAGATGATTTCCTTGAGCACATTCAGTAACCTGGAATCAGTTATAGAATAGCCTCATATTCTATTATGACATTTCAAATGGTGATAGATAAGACTGCATAGATGAAATAAAATGCCAGAAACTTTTCTCAGAATTCTTTCTAAAGAAAAGCTTCTGAAATCTGTAAAATGTATTTTATTGCTGTCATTACTGTTATTCTCACAGAAAACTCCTTTACTTTCTTCCCCCTCCTCTCATGATCTGGTAGAAACTAGATTGTTGACATCTTATGATTACTTCTACTGGCACCATGTTAAGTCAAAAAGTGCCCTTCACAAGCATGTCTGTTTTTACAAGCATTGTATGTTGCATTAAGATCCTTATCATCCAAGCAGGAAAAATAATAATCTCTAAATATTTTACGTCAGTAAATTCATAATGTAGGTAAAAATTTCCTAAACAACTTACCAGAAGCCACAAATGATGTCTCAACAGAGGTGAAAACATATTACTGAAAATACAAGTCAGTGCCTTAAATATGAAAAGAATTTTTTCACATGTTCAGTGTTCATGTTCCAGCTGTAGTCCACATGATTTCTAAATACTTTTTATTGTTGCCTATTTAATTTTCTAATTCAACTACATTTTCTAATGGAAAGACAAAAATATCACAACAATCATTTGTTTGCAAGGATATTTGCAATCCTTCCCTTTATCCATCTTCTTAAAATGCCTAATAAAATGCTGTGAGAGTTTCCAGAAAACAACCATACCTTGTAGCATGGTAACCTGACACTATTTTCAAGGTGGTTTAAGGTCAAAATCTAAAAATAATATCTACATAGCACTTTCTACTTACTGATCTCAACGCAGGAAGTTGAATGTAATTATATCTGTAATTTAGAACAATGGTTAAGTGTCTTGTCCAAAGCCCAGGAGAAAGTCCTTGGAAAAGCGCTCATTCAGTGCTCTATTCAAAGAACAAAGACACTTTCCTGTAAAAATTGGAAAAGGTCTGTTCTGATGGACAGGTGATGATTATCTGAATTGTAACAACCTATCTTTACATAAGACCTCCAGTGCTTTAGCTCTATTTTATTGAAATGCCATCAAACTTGCTGTCAATTGAAATCACATCTGATTTGTTTTTGGTAGAGGAAAGATCCTGTG